GCACACATGCATCAGGCTCCGTGGGCCAGTCATTGAGCTCTTCACAGACCCTGCTTGTGTGACTCATAGATCAAGAATGTAATTAATATGGCTAAGAGATCGGGGGACCTGAGGAGACAAGGCAGCTTGTGTTGGACCTTAAATAATAAGAAGTGCAAAGTGACATGCATGCTCAATCACTTCAGTCGTGGCCGACTCTTTGCGACCTTGTGGACTGTAGTCCACCAGGCTCCTCTGTCCATGGGGATTCCCCAGGAAAAAAAATACTGGAATGGGTTGCTATGCCCTCCTCCAAGGAATCTTCCCGACCTGGGAATCAAAACTCACATCTGCCTGCATCTCCAGCATTGCAGGCAGATTCTTTACCCTTTGAGCTACCTGGGAAGCCCACGTGCTGAACATATTAGAACCTTAATATATGTTGTCTTGTTTAACCCTTACAACAGCCCAGGAAGTAGGAATTATTCTTCTCATTTAATCATTGAGGAAGTCCCTAGACTGAGGATTAGGAAAGAGCTCTAACTTTTGTTCAGCCACCAATGAAAACTGAAAACACTAGACCAAATGAATTGCGTTTCTAGGAATCCTGAGGCTCAGCAGAGATGCCCAGGGAGTCAATGGGCCACTGCAAGGGAAAGACTGACCTTATATACTCCAGCCAGAGCAGCTCTGCCTCGATCTGTCTTGTAAGGCTCCGTGGGCCAGTCATTGAGCTCTTCACAGACCCTGCTTGTGTGACTCATAGATCAAGAATGTAATTAATATGGCTAAGAGAGTGGGGGACCTGAGGAGACAAGGCAGCTGGTGTTGGACCTTAAATAATAAGAAGTGCAAAGTGACATGCATGCTCAATCACTTCAGTCGTGGCCGACTCTTTGCGACCTTGTGGACTGTAGCCCACTAGGCTCCTCTGTCCATGGGATTTCTCCAGGAAAAAAAATACTGAAATGGGTTGCTATGCCCTTCTCCAAGGAATCTTCCTGACCTGGAAATCAAAACTCACATCTGCCTGCATCTCTAGCATTGCAGGCAGATTCTTTACCCTCTGAGCTACCTGGGAAGCCCACGTGCTGAACATATTAGAACCTTAATATATGTTGTCTTGTTTAACCTTTACAATAGCCCAGGAAGTAGGAATTATTCTTCTCATTTAATCATTGAGGAAGTCCCTAGACTGAGGATTAGGAAAGAGCTCTAACTTTTTTTCAGCCACCAATGAAAACTGAAAACACTAGACCAAATGAATTGCGTTTCTAGGAATCCTGAGGCTCAGCAGAGATGCCCAGGGAGTCAATGGGCCGCTGCAAGGGAAAGACTGACCTTATATACTCCAGCCAGAGCAGCTCTGCCTCGATCTGTCTTGTGTGTTGTCAGGACTGGCTTCCTGGGTGTGCCACCAGTGAAGCCCCATAGGGCCTGCCAGGTTCAGAAGGGGCCTGTGCTTAGGATTTAATGCCCTGCAGGTGCCATCTTGAAATCCTTAATAGCTTTGTCTAAATTTGTGTTTTGTAAGTGAAATACCGTGGAACAGTGGAACATGTGCCAGGGGCTTGGAGCTCTGACTTATGCTCAGTCCCCCTTCCTGTTGCCTCTCTGCTTCTATGTTCACTGTCTGCTCTTGGCCAGTTGCTTTTTTTGTTCCCCAGTCCATCACACGACAAATAACTGGTCCTATGTGCAGTATTAACACCCAGCTCCCAGCACTTGTAACTCACGTCATGAGTTTGACAGCACTGAAACTGGTCTATACCCTCTTCAGCCAGGCAAGTTCAGTTGGACAAGTTCACCCTTGGATGTTCCAGGGATGTCAGATTGTCATTTTTTGTTGTTGTTCAGTCGCTCAGTTGTGTCCAACTCTTTGAGACCCCATGGACTGCATCATGCCAGGCTCCCCTGTCCCTCACTATCTCCCGGAACTTGCTCAAGTTCATGTACGTTGAGTCAGTGATGCCATCCAACCATCTCTTCCTCTGTCGTCCCCTTCTCCTCCTGCCCTCAATCTTTCCCAGCATCAGGGTCTTTTCCAATGAGTCAGTTCTTCACATCAGGTGGCCAAAGTATTGGAGCTTCAGCTTCAGCTTCAGCGTCAGTCCTTCCAATGAATATTCAGGGTTGATTTCCTTTAGGATTGACTGGTTTCATCTCCTTGCAGTCCCAGGGACTATCAAGAGTCTTCTCCAGCACCACAATTTGAAAGCCTCAATGCTTCCATGCTCAGCCTTCTTTATGGTCCATCCGTACATTTCCAAATGCTTGTGTTCAGTTCTTATAGTTATCCGACAGCAGACCAGTAACAACAGTGGATCATGATGAGAAGCTCTGCTTCAGACTCTTCTGTGGGTGCCGGGATCCTGGAATTACCCGTCCAAATCACACAGACCTGCGTCCAGGGTCTTCATGGGCCTCTTCACCTAAGTCATTCTCCTGGTTTGCATTTCCCTAGGCCAAGGGGCAGCTGTTTGCAGGGGGCGGTGGGGATGGAGATTGAATATGTATGCTGGGGTGTCTGTACATATGCGTTTGAAGCACTGCTGATGCAGGATGGANTCATGGGCCTCTTCACCTAAGTCATTCTCCTGGTTTGCATTTCCCTAGGCCAAGGGGCAGCTGTTTGCAGGGGGCGGTGGGGATGGAGATTGAATATGTATGCTGGGGTGTCTGTACATATGCGTTTGAAGCACTGCTGATGCAGGATGGAAGGAGAATGGGAAGAGAAGGGGGTCAGGCTGCCAGCTGGTGGAGGAAGAGGAGCACAAAAATTTGGGGTGAGCCCAGCTGAAGGAATCCAGCCATTTCTCGACACATCTGAAACTTATCCAGAGTGCCTGCCAGTCAGGAAGCTTTCGACCAGGCATCTTCCATTTTGACTTACAGTGTTTTGAATTTGGATTTCTATCCATGGTTATGGTCAAGAGCCTTCTAGCACTTTGCAGAGCGGGTGGGTGGCACATGGACATGTGCGTCCTTCAGATCCCTACCTTAGCTGCACGGAGACTGCAGCATCATAAGCTCTGCCCCTCCCTCTGTTAGTGTATCAGATACACAGCTTCTGATGCCTGCCTCGTGCCAGACTTCTCAACACTCTGGGAAAGGATTTTGTTTATTTCCCTTAAGTTTGAAAGCAAACCTTGGCTAACACCCCAAAAGTAAGACAGGCAAATGACTCAAACATTTAAATACACACACATACACACAATTAGCCAGTAGGCATATAAGTAATATATCTTATGTTTATGTTTTATTTGTAAAGGATATTATGAATGATCCAAAGAAACAGCTGGATAAAGAGGTACACCGGGCAAGGTCTGAAAGAGTTCTAAGCACAGGAGCGTCTGAGCTGTGGAGTTGGGGTATGCCACTCTCCCAGCACCTGTATGCTTTCACCAACCTGGAGGCTCCCCCAAACACTGTCACATAGGGATGTTTAGGGAGGTTTGATCATGTAGGCATCGTCAATTCCTAACTCAAGTCTCCAACCCCTCTCCCCTCCCCAGAGGTTGGAAGGTGGGGCTGAAAGTTCCAAGCTCCTACTGAAGGTCAGGTCTTCCTGGCAACCAGCCCTCACCCTGAGGGGGGCCACCCAGGGGGCCACCAGGAGTTGCCTCCTTATAACAAATAATACTCCTCTCTTTCCTGTCACACGTGAAATTCCAAGGGATTTGGGAGCTCTGCGTCATGAAGTGTGAGCCACCCAGGGGGCCACCAGGAGTTGCCTCCTTATAACAAATAATCCTCTCTCTTTCCTGTCACACATGAAATTCCAAGGGATTTGGGAGCTCTGCGTCATGAAGTGTGAGCAAATACAAAATGTTGTCACAGAAGGTGCTGCTGTCACCCGTTCTTACTCAGGAAATGACAAGGGTTTTAGGAACTCTATGCCGGGAACTGGGGACCGAGACCAAATGTATATTTCTTTTTATATCACAATGTCCTCCCGTCACAGACCGCTCCGTCATTGCTGACTGTCCTTGCGGGAATGGAATGACTAACCTGCCTGGCTGCCCTTGGCCTCCCCGTGGCCATCACAGCCGCTGCTGTTTTCCTGGCTCCCACTTGCCACCCCCACCCCCAGTGCTCCCTGGACCACCTTTTGTCCTTTCAATTAAATACTCTTTATCCACAAATTCCTCTCTGTGGTCCTCCTCTGGCTTTTCTTTTCTCTTTCCCTTTTTTGGCCTTGCCACAACTTGTGGGATCTTAGTTCCCTGACTGACCAGGGATTGAACCCTTGCCCTCAGCAGTGGAAGCTTGGAGTCCTAGCCACTGGACAACCAGGGAATTCCACCCTCTTGCTTTTTACTGAGGCCGTGTTTAAACTTCATTCTGTCATTTCTTGGCTTTCCCTGGGAGGAACCACATACTCAGTCCAACACCTTGAAATGGATTTATGTAAAAAACAATGTGATACCTTCAACACATTAATCCCACCTTTAGGAATTTATCCTATGAGATAATTAAGAATAAAACTTTAGCCTCACTGGCTTTCATCACTGTAACATTTGATATGAAAAGGTAAAAATAAATATCCAATTAAAGAGCATTAGTTAAATAAATAGTGACACATCCATACAGTGACAGACCAGACAAAGTGTATGAAAAATAATGACAGAATACTTAAGGGTGTGGAAAAATGTCATTGATGTATTATGAAGTAAAAATTTGAGGTTACGAAATTATTTTAAAGTCTTATTTTTGTAAAAACAGGGGCTTCTCTGGTGGTTAAGACTATGGGCTTTCAACACAGGGGTTACAAGTTCGATCCCTGGTCAAGGAAATAAGACTGCACATGGTGTGCCATGTAGTCAAAAATTATTTTTCAATTTTTTTTTTTTAAAAGAAGAGGAAAAAAAAACCCGACGCATGTTCTTATAGAAAATGTAGCTCTGCATGATGGGATTTCTGGGTGACATTTATTTCTTCATTTCTGCTGTCTTGGGGATTGTTTGCAGTAACTGCCATGGGCAAGACTCTAGTCCCAGGCCCTGCTTCCCTCCCTGCAGGTGTGCTGGAAGATGGCGTGACCTCCAGTGGCGTGACCTCCAACGGCGTGCCCCGATCGACAGCCCCGAGTGGAATATCCAACCCAGAGAAGAAGATGAGCTGTGGGACCCAGTGCCCGAACCCTCAGAGCCTCAGCTCGGGCCCCCTGGCCCAGAAACAGAACGGCCTCCGGACCGCAGAGGTAGGTCACGGCCACAGAACAGACTGGGGACCGGAGTCAGGGGGGAGAAGCTTGCTTTTGGGCAGAGCCAAGCTGAGGCTGCACCCACAGAAGCGGCCGTGATGGCTCACCTTGCCAAAGGAAATTCTCCACCCACCCGTGTGAAAATCTTTGCAAAGAAAACAGCACAGCCCCACCTCCCACCCCCTGCCTTGAGGGCCGCTGTGTTTGGTTGAATCAGCGGAAATGGGTCCTTGATATTTGCGCTCTGGAGGAAGTGTGTGTTTGTTTAAATACAGCTTTGTTCAAGGGTCTCCTTTGCTGTCGCATCTTGATAGTGAGGACCGTACTGGTCGCAGGAACTAGTCTCGGGCCAGGCAGTCAGCCGTCACAGGGCTTGGCAGGGAACGAGACCAGAGCCCAGCGTGTAGGAGACAAGCCTGGTGTCTTATCTCACCCTCCTGCCAGGCGGGCAGCAGGAGGGTCCCCAGGGGGGCTCCTGTTGTAGGATGTGGTGACGGCATCACCCCACACTGTTGCTATTGGAGATGGAGTGGGGCTGCAGACCTGGACCTAGCTGGCATCCTTTCTGACTCTTTCTTTTCTCTCAGAGCCATTCTTGGGAAGGACTCCGCCTGCTGCTCCTGGACTGCTCCTTAGCAGACCAGCACGGGGGTCTGCAGCCTTTCCCCTCCGCCCCCCCACTCCCTCGTCATCCCCCATAACCCACTTCAAAGTCCCCTGCTTACCTGCTCACTCAGTACCTGTCTGTCCCGTCTCCTCTGTCAAAACTCACCGCTCCTGTCCCTCTGCCCAGTGCCATCTATTGTACGTCTGAAGATCCGACTGGATTCTCTAATGATAGAATTCGGGCCCACATCAGTGAGTTGCCTCTCTAAGCTTTGGTCAGAAAACCTGTTGCAAAGTTAGCTCCAATACTCCTGGACTACGTGCTTCGAAGAAATCACTCAGTCTCCCAGAGTCTCAGGTTCCTTATCCACACAACGGAAATGATAGCAAAATGAGACAACAGATGGGCCTGCTCTTTGGGAACTGAGAAGTGCAGTGAGAAAGGCAGTAAGGATTCATTTTAACAGGGGCTGGTTAGACACCCAGCACCGTAACCCCGTGAAAGCAAACACTGATGGTGGTTCTTCAGACACATAGAGGGTCATGGGTCGGGGGTAGATTTGAGGGCAGTGGGAGATTTGAGGACCCTTCCTGGGGTCCTGTGTGGTCTGCTTTTTTCGTGCATAAGCTGACCTTCTAGAGGCCCAAGCATCATTGCCATCTCCCAAGGCGGTCTGGGTCCCACAGAACGATGCCCAGAAGCTGTCACTGCTCTAGGGCAGGCCCTCACTTTTGTTCCCCAGCCTGCTTCCCACACTGCACCCTCACCTTTTGAGCCTGTAACATTTGAGTAAGTAACATTAAATTGAAACAAGTGACTATAAGAAAAGTAGAGCAGAGAGATCTCAAAGTCCTTTTTTTGTTGAAGAAAAATGTATTAGTCCGCTATTGCCACAATAATGCTGCATGACAAAGCAAATCAATATTCAGGGGCTTAAAACAGCAATCTTTCTCCTCGCTATCAACCACAACTTGAACAGCTAGACCTGACTTCAGACCCCAAGTCTAGCTTAGTCTGTTCTGTGTGTATAACTGGGAATCAGGCTAAAAGAGCATCAGCTCGCTGAGGTATATTATGGCTGTGGGAAACCCAGGAGGGCAAGCCCATTTCATGTCACTGCTCCCATCAGACCATCTGACCTCCTACTGATAACACAGACAAACCCAACATCAGCAAGACAAGGAAGTGGAGTCTGTCTGCAGTGGATAGACAGCAAAGGATTAGCAATCTAGTACATACAGCGTACATACAGAAAAATGTACAAGTCAGTCCCAAGTTCAATGCATTTTAATAAGGGGACACACATGTAACCATCATGTGTAAGGAGACAGAGAACAGTGTCATTACTCCAGATATCCCGTGTGCCCCTCACCATAGGGACTTGGATGCACCAGTCACCATCCGCCTCCACAAGATAAGCACTCTCTGACTTCTATCATTAGATATCAGTTTTGTTTATTTTTGACTTTTATAAATGGAATCATATAGTATGTGCTCTTATGAGTCCAGCTGTTTTTGTTCAGCATTATGCTGGTGGGAATCATCCATGGTGTTGTGAGTTGCAAAAATTTCCTCATCTCCACTGCCATGTAGATTCTGTTAAATGAATACACCACAGTTTAAGGACATTTGGGCTGTTTCTAGTTTAGGGCTGTTGTGAACAACACAGCTGTTAACATTCTTTTTTTTAAATTAATTTTTATTAGAGTATGGTTGCTTAACATGAATGTTATATATATTACACATATATTTATTCTTTTTTGTATTCTTTTTTTCTTTTTGGCCACATCGTGTGGGGATTGAACCTGTGTGCCCTGCACTGGGAGCTGGGAGTTTTAACCGCTGGACCCCCAGGGAAGTCCCAACTATTAACATGCTTGTGTGCTTTGGTAGACATTCCCTTCTCTGGGGTATGTACCCAGAAGTAGAATTCCTGGCTCATAGGATGTGTACATATTTGACTTTAATAGATACTGACACAGTTTTCCAAAGTGGTTATATCACTTAACATGCTAACTGGCTGCCGATGAGTTCCCGTTAGGGACCATAAGAATGTAAGGCCAGTAAGCTGAGCTTCGTCCCATCTTTCTTAGTCTTCTACATGCAGCCTGAGGTCTAAGCACTTCATCATATCATTGATCCTCAGAGTGTGGATACTGTTGTCTCCAGTGTACAGATAAGAATGGAGCCTCGGGTGCTTCAGGAAAGCTCTCCCCACTGTGTGGGAGTTAAAAGGGGCCAGGTAGAGTCCGCCCTCCCGAGGCTCCAGCCCCACTGAAAACTGTGTCGCTGGGCGTGAGGACCACACACCTGACCAACATGACCGACCCAGCACCGGGGAGGAGCTGGCGCGCACTGATAAGCCCAACACACCGCTTTTGTTTTCAGATTCAGTGAACAATGGTGTGTACTAAGTATTTCCAAAATAAGATCAAGGAGCAGATAGCTTCAGACAATTGCTGAAGTGCATCAGCAGTCTTCCTGTCCTGAGACCTCCTGGGCCACCAGGTGTCCTGACCTCTTCAAGGGCAAAGATTTCTACCAAAGGTAGAAAAAGCTGTCTTAGCTTACAAGACAGGCCCACCTCTGATTGAAGCTTCTGTTAACACAGCGCTCAGAATCTGCCTAGAATCTGCTTTTTCTAATAAAAAAGGATTGGTCTTCCCTGGTGGTCTAGTGGTTAAGAATCTGCCTGCTAATGCAAGGGACACCAGTTCGATCCCTGGTCCTGAAAGATCCCACGTGCCAGAGAGCAACTTAAAGCTTGTGTGCCTCAATGACTGAGCTGCTGTAACTGGAGAAAGCCTGCACGTAGTAACAAAGGCCCAGCACAGCCAAAAAATACACACACAAAAAAAGTCTTTTAAATAAAGAAAACGATTTTCTTCCTATTCCATCTAGGGCCTTTGACACACCATCTCTTCCTGGCGTGTCTCCTACTCCAGGCTAGAGCTTCCTACATTTTCTGTGTCTGGCACAGGCAGTATCCACTGGCTTGTTCCGGTTGCCTTTGGCTCCCCAAGATCACCTAGTACTTCACAGCATTCCCCTGGACATCATCAGGCCACCAGCTAATGGTTCTTGGGCACTTTTTTAAAGCTCCCCTTCTCCAGAAGAACCTGTTCATGAAGCATGCATCATCATGCCCATGTCTGCTCAGTGTTTCCGTTCAGATTGACAGACCATCTTTGTGGGTTAAAGGCAATCCTCACCCGGTGTGGAAAATTTCCTTGTTGGGTCGTGTAAGAACGTTTTGGATTCATTCATCTGATGCTCACCCACTGAGTGCTGTCTGGGTGCCAGGCACTGTTCTGATGCCAAGGGTCCAGGAGTAGAAGAGGCAGCTGCTGCGTTTAATGGCACTGAGCCTGGGCAGGCAGATAATACAGGGTAAATGAACAAAGCCTTACGTATTTGAAATGGTGCTGTGAAGGAAATGAAAGGTCACTGGTAGGGGATGGTAGTTCAGCTCAGTTCAGTCGCTCAGTTGTGTCCGACTCTTTGTGACCCCATGGATTGCAGCACTCCAGGCCTCCCTATCCATCACCAACTCCCAGAGCTTACGCAAACTCATGTCCATTGAATCAGTGATGCCATCCAACCGTCTCATCCTCTTGTCCCCTTCTCCTCCCTACTCGATTTAATGTAGACGTAATCCCACAGTTCACATCACTTTCCGAAGGGTGATGGGGGCAGCTGACGCCTATGAGCAGCTCCTCGAATTCGGAGCCCCGCTCCAGTCCACGCCCCATCAGACCAACCACAGCTTTCTTTCAGTTCGCTCTGGCCTCTGTCTCATGCCTGGTGTTAATAGGTGATAACTGGCAGAAAGAATGTGACAAAAGTGATGTTTCACGAGCTGGAACTGTCTCGGTGGGGCACTCTTTCTTTCTCTATTAAACCTTGATTTGCTCCAGTCACCTGGGACCTTTTTGACTGAAGAGTGGCTGATAAATCATCGACTGTCTCCTCCCCACCCCTTCCCTGAGCCCAGCAGATAGCACAAGGTCCTCCCCACCCCTTCCCTGAGCCCAGCAGATAGCACAAGGGGAAGCTCTGTAGCTGCTTGTTCTCTCCTGCTAATGAATTGCTCAGGAGCTCCGGGCCACCTCCAGACCTGACTCTCCAACCCGTTTCTTCAGGCTGAGGACTCCTGTTTTCCTCCTCCAGAGCTGTTTCCTCAAGTATTCAGCCAAGGTAGAGAAGTGAATATGGATGTAGCTCTGGGCACACGAAACTCTGGTCTGTGGCCGGCCTCCCAGTGGAGCCTTCACATCCTCAGAAGCTTCATCCTTTTGGGATGCTTTATTATTATTGGCAGAGTGGCCAGACCTTGCCAAACAAACTAGCCGATGCCTGCGCTGGTTCTCGGCTAAGGAGCCTCTCCCTT